CTGCAAACATCACCACCACCGTCTGCAAACATCACCCACATGCTGAAACATCACCCACCATCCTCAAACATCACACACGATCTCAAACATCACCCACCATTCTCAAACATCACCCACCGTCCTCAAACATCACCACCATCCTCTAACATCACCACCGTCTCCAAACATCACCCACCACCTCAAACATCACCCACCATTCTCAAACATCCCACCATTCTCAAACATCACCCAGTCCTCAAACATCACCCACCATCCTCAAACACCCACAATCTCCAAACATCACCCACCATCCTCAAACATCACCCACCGTCTCCAAACATCACCCACCATCCTCAAACATCACCACCGTCTCCAAACATCACCCACCGTCTCCAAACATCACTCCCTAGTATTATTACCAAATCTTCGAAACTGTACCGATAAAAACTCAGCTTCACGAGACACGAACCCCCCGGATGTCTCAAGGCGACTGAGTAAACCTGGAAATATCTCACCTGAATCATGACCCGGAAGCCTTGAGATATGATCGAGGATTATCTCCCTCCCAGAAAACCATCTTCAGCTACCCAAGACTCTCAGATCCTGCCGCAGTATAACCCGAACTATACTAAAGCGACCACGCAATATTTTTCCCCGAGAATGTTGCCGTGAAGGAATTTACTGATTTTCAACTTGTTTCCTAAGTTGTGACATCATGGTGGGTGGGGGAGGGTTTATGAGCTACCAGTTACATATTTCTCGTCGCTTTAGTCTTAATCTTTTGAGTCCTGGAGAGTTAAATCATCATCATCATCATCAAAAGGTTTAAGCCATTGTCCAGAAATGGTTAAGTCATATTCATCAAATAGTTAAACCATTGTCCAGGAAGGTTAAACCATCGTCATCGAAGGTTTAAGAACTACCACACTCGGCCCCTCCCACCAATATGACGTGTGGTTTTGTGATTGGATAATGAATAGCAGTAACATCCGTAAAAGCAAATTTGATTCAACCTATTGTATTGTTATTATATTGTTGGTTTTCCAATTGGTCAGTCACAAGCCAAGGCAAGAGAAAGAGGGTTAGGTTAGGTTAAGTTATTTGACAGTTCCATAATGAGCAGACATTACTTTACTGAGATGCTAAGACGGATAGACTCTTCACCAAAGGATAAATATTGCTGTTCTCTCTCTCTCTCTCTCTCATGAACACGAAATGAACGTAATCCTGATACATAGATCTCACCTTCGTCAAACTCTTGTCAACGATAAATGTTGTATTTCTAAAGCGTAATCGTCTGCTAATTCCGGGGGGGGAGGGTGAGGTTAAATGAGAAGGGATTACCTGGAGATTAGACACCCCAGTTTATTTCACCTGATGATTATACCCGAACGCTTTACCTGGGGATTCAATTGGGTTAGATTAGGTTAAGTTAGGTTAGGTTTGAGGAGATTATGAGTAAGTTATTCTTGGTTAGGTTGGGAAAAATCGGGTTAAGTTAGGTTAGCGTTAGGGTGGTTAATTATCCTGTTGAATAAATTGAGGTGCCTAACCTTCAGATTAAACTGAGGTGTCTAATCATCAGGTGATATAAGCGGAGGTGTCTAATCGTCACGTAATTCAATTTATTCGCTTTTCCACCATCGTCTCGCTGTTGACCGTGGCCTACATTCTCAAAGATTCTGGCGTTAAAATATCCTCTTAATTGGAGACGTGAGAACGCATCTAAAAGCCTCACTTATAAAGGTTGATCAAAAAGTCCCTGTGCACCTGTAGTAATGAACAATGTAGTTAGTTCTAATTATACCTACATTGTTACATACATTATTTTAGTCACAATAAATAGAGGAAGTTGTATCCACTTCCAGCATTTATTCTGAACATTTCCAATATTTACTCAGAGTAGAATAAGATAACTAACAACGTAGATAAACAAGGAACAACTCTCTTCTTTATTTTGGCTAGTGCACAGGGACTTTTCGATCACCCTTTACCATAGCACACACATATATGTACTAATGTCGTTTCAAGATTCAACAAATACTGGTGTTGTTTTTTACCTTAGACGGAAATTAACTGGAAGATCTTGTTTATGTATGTGTGTGTATATGTATATTAATGTATGTATGTGTGTGTATATGTATGTATTCCTAAGTAACCATCCTATTCACGATTTATTCACTTACACTACGTCAAACATACATGCTTCTGACATCGTTACACTGATCATTAAAAACAGAAAATGACCAGAAAATCAAGAGACAAATCTCATATTTTTACGATTATTTTTACCCCTAGGATGACGCCATACCATCAACATTCTCAACACAGTTTTTCCATTAGGTGTATTTTTTTAAGCCGGATTTTTATTGTTTTTCCATTTAATATCACAAGGTTTTAGAGTAGTATTATCTGGGCGTGTGAAAGGGTTATACGTACTGGTGATATTAGTAATTACTTTTTTTTTTACCTGTTGTGGCTGTAATGTCACATTCTTTAGTTGTATAGTCACCCCACATTAAGTCCTGTCATCTCTATTGCTTTACGAACCCCGAGATTCAGTCAGATTCGTGAACCCGAAGCAGTAGACAGTGATGCATTGTTCTGTCCGTGAAGGCTTCGGATTCACGAGTCTGACTGAAATTCGCGGTTCGTGGCTCAGAAGGAGAGATGAAAGAACTTTTATAAATGACTGTATCTTTTGTGATCTTCTTATAATGTTTAGTTTTGTGAAATATTCTGAAACGTGAGGACCCGACCATCGACTAGTGCCTGCCTGCCTGCCTGCTGCTCGACCACTTACTCGATCTCTCAACTCGATGTTCCGGAACCTTGTGTCATGGATCGTGGACTTATTCTAGTTTGGACTCACGGTTATTATGTTCAGGAGTTCCGTATCAGTGTTGTTTATATCTCGAACGTATTTGTAATGAAAAACAGCACGTGAGGGTGGAGGATTCGAGGAGGAGGGCAGTGCATTCCTGGACGGCCGAGTGTGTGGACGCTGGTCAGTTGGTCTGTTGTGGTTGAAAGCTAATTGTGTTACTCTGCCTTAGTAATATAATACAAGTTTATACCATCTATTTACCTTTGTATGTTGTATGATTGTGGTGATTGTTAGTGTATAGTTTTCGAGACTAATGTTGTATTTGTGTTTCTTGTAACTCTATTCTACATAAAACATAGTCTTTAAATCCTCGTAAGGTAACATAGATATTTGAATAATAATGAACAAGATGGTAAACATGATAATGATTGTGAAGGTTTATGATGACTCTATAGCAAGATGTGTAACTTAGACACACAATTGAGTCTCTGGGGTCTGTTGCTGCGCTGTTATTGGTAAGGTGTTGAGCTCAGGAACAACAACTAACACAAAAATGACGACAAAAATGATTATTACAATGATAAATTTGAGTTGCGGTAATAATAATGATAATAATAATAATGAGGATGATGGATGTGGATACTAATGATGGTGGATGATAATGATAAGCACGTTACGTTATGTTATGTTGGGTTACGTTTGGTTTGGTTAGGTTAGGTTAGGTTAGGTTAGGTTTAACTGAGCGAGGTTAGGTTCGATCATGTTAGGTCAGGTCAGGTGAAATAAACTTGGGGTGTCCAAGCTTCAGGGGATTCGAACTTCTAATTTTAAATCCTCGCAACACAATTCAAGGTCACAGTGAGGTCAAATGTCATGCCATGTCGAGTGTGTTACCTGGCGATTCATTAGAGCTGTCTTGATGACGCCACCCGAGTGTGTCTCATGACTTACTAATGGTTACGACTATAAATACCAAAGGGTCAGGTCACAGCTGGAGGTCAAACGTCATAACATTCATCAGAACGTCACCTCTTTGTATATTTTGATTATTTTATCGTAAGATTAGCACCCTAACCTAACCTAACCTAACCATACAGGTGTGATAGATATATAGACGGTAACTACGAGACTACTTCAGGAACAGTGGTGGTTGATGAGTCTCGTCCAGGAGTGGCTGTCAAGATGTCCTCTGGTCGAGACAATAGACACGTTCCTTTTGGTATATTATTATTATTATTATTATTATTATTATTACTGTTATTATTGTTGTTATTGTTAATGTTGTTATAATTATCATTATTATTGTTGTTTTGTTTGTTTTATTATTATTATTATTATTATTATTATTATTATTATTATTATTATTATTATTATTATTATTATTATTATTATTATTATTATTATTATTATTACTCGCATTACAGTTACACAAGGGGTTAACCTAACCTAACATATATGAGAGAGAGAGAGAGACTCTGGGTGTGTGGTGTACGTGCCGGGTTGAAACTTCAGTCTGCTCGTGCATGTTGAATGAGCGTTAACCTAACCTAACCTGCACACAACATTACGTTTCAGCTGTTGTGAGTAGCTTCCTGTTCTTCCTGTGTGTACGATGGTGCAGGGGGGAGGTAGGAGAAGCAGGGGGAGGTAGGGAAAGCAGGGGAGCAGGGAAAGCATGGAGGGGCAGAAGAAGCAAGGTGTGTGTGTGTGTGTGTATCAACTTACTTCTAAATTAGTTTTGTTTACTTTTGTTATTTACAACTTGTATCACCACTTAGACTTAGTAATCAGGTGAGTGGAAAAGATCAATATACCGTCCGTGTTGTAAGTCCGTGTGATGAAGTCCGTGTTGGAAGTGTTAGTAACGTGTGTTGTAAGTAACAAATACATTAGTAACACTGACTCCATTACATCAGGCAATCTCCCACACACACACACACACACACACACACACACACACACACACACACACACACACACACGCGCGCGCCTATCGAGGAGGAAGGAAGGAAGGTGGTGGTGTTGGAGGGTGGTGTGGGATGGGTAGGGAGGTGTTGGAAGGAGGTCAGTGGGGGAGGAAGGGCAGGTGAGGGAGGGGGGAGGTAATACGAGGCCATGTTGAGGTTGTCACTCGCCGGGGCTCCACCTCATCCTCCAGTCCACCTCTTTTAATATTTCTCTTTACTCTCCTCAGCAGGATGATGGCGAGGAGACCGCTGCGACCTCTGGTGCAGCTGCTGGCCTTGTTTTCGGCGCTTGCTGTTGTTGCAGCTGTAGACACGACCACCGAGGCTAAGGTTACTACTACCCTACACTCTGAGGCTACTACGACTACCGCTGCTACCACTACTATTACTACAACGACCACCAGCCCTCCAACTGCAGCTGCTGACGTTCTCACTGATGTCACAGTTGACACTACTGCTGACGTCACCCAGGATCTCACTGATGACGTCAGAAGTGAAGTGGAAGCTGAAGTGACGACCGCCCTCAAGACTGGTGAGTGTTACTGTACACTGTCACACGTGTTACTCTTCTCTCACACTTGTTACTCTTCTCTCACACTTGTTACTCTTCTCTCACACTTGTTACTCTTCTCTCACACTTGTTACTCTTCTCTCACACCTGTTACTCTTCTCTCACACTTGTTACTCTTCTCTCACACTTGTTACTCTTCTCTCCCTTGTTACTCTTCTCTCACACTTGTTACTCTTCTCTCACACTTGACTCTTCTCTCCTGTTACTCTTCTCTCACACTTTTTACTCTTCTCTCACACTTGTTACTCTTCTCTCCTTGCTATTCTTCTCTCACACCTGTTACTCTTCTCTACACTTGTTACTCTTCTCTCACACTTGTTACTCTTCTCTCACACTTGTTACTCTTCTCTCCACTTGTTACTCTTCTCTCACACACTTGTTACTCTTCTCTCACACCTGTTACTCTTCTCTCACACTTGTTACTCTTCTCTCCACACTTGTTACTCTTCTCTCACACTTGTTACTCTTCTCTCACACCTGTTACTCTTCTCTCACACTTGTTACTCTTCTCTCACACTTGTTACTCTTCTCTCACACCTGTTACTCTTCTCTCACACTTGTTACTCTTCTCTCACTTGTTACTCTTCTCTCACACATGTTACTCTTCTCTCACACTTGTTACTCTTCTCTCTCACACCTGTTACTCTTCTCTCACACTTGTTACTCTTCTCTCACACTTGTTACTCTTCTCTCACACTTGTTACTCTTTCTCTCCACTTGTTACTCTTCTCTCACACTTATTACTCTTCTCTCACTTGTTACTCTTCTCTCACACCTGTTACTCTTCTCTCACACCTGTTACTCTTCTCTCACACTTGTTACTCTTCTCTCACACTTGTTACTCTTCTCTCACACTTGTTACTCTTCTCTCACACTTGTTACTCTTCTCTCACACTTGTTACTCTTCTCTCACACTTGTTACTCTTCTCTCACACTTGTTACTCTTCTCTCACACTTGTTACTCTTCTCTCACACTTGTTACTCTTCTCTCACACTTGTTACTGGGGGACCAAGATGTGTAGTCACTGTTATAAATATTCAACACACATCTCTACACTCGCGTCATACATGAAGAGAAGCGAAGTGAAGTTGTGATTTTGACTCAAGTTAAATATAATAGTTCTCTACTGGCCACCCTGTCCAACCTGGTGTTTTCGTCAGTATCTCTCACACGGATTAAAAATATGAAACAGAGGAGAAAAATATGATATGCTATTGCGTGTGAAACGTTTCCAGAGTCATATATATAGTGTGTGTGTGTACTTTATATCATGTAATGGAGAGAAAAAATCTTTATTAATTATTTTATACGTTAGATATGATTGTGCAAATGAATTCGTCACTGTAACTGTCTCAGAAAATGACAAACTGCCTGTCATATTTCCATGGTGATAGTGTGAATGTTCGTATTAAAACAGCAACATTGTCCTCACTAGATCTCCTACAAATGAGGACAATGTTACACGAATTCCACGAAAATATATAAGGCAGTGAGTGAACTTTTTATTTCTGAGTCAACCTGGAGAGTAGGCACCCCAGTTTATATCATTTGAAGACTAACCACCCAAGCGTTACCTGTGGTGGAGGAGTGTTAGGTTAAGGTAAAGTTAGATTAAATTACTTTCGGGTTAATGTGGTAAATCTTGAGGTCAAATAAGCTGCGGTGTCTAATCTGGATGTGTAATAAGCTGGGGTGTCTAATCTTGAGGTTAAAGAAGCTGTCTAATATTGAAGTCAAATAAGCTGAGGTGTCTAATCTTGAGGTGTAATAAGCTGGGATCTCTAATCTTCAGGTGAAATAAGCAGGAGATGTTTACTCTTCAGGTAAAATAAGCTGTGATTTCATATACACATAACTCCCTCGTTCTTCTCTAAAACACCAAAATAATAGGTGTTATTTGTAAAAAAACTTGAAGAATTAGTGACATCGTCCACATACCTACTGTGCGTTAGTGAAAATTTTATACGCTGTTATTGAACACTCTATTGGTACTCAGTGAAACATATGTGATCGTATATTTTTACATTGGCATTGAACATATAGTGATAGGCTATTCTGAACTACATACACGATATCACGCATAGCACCACATCACGGTATAATACATAACATATACGCGAATATATCAATAAGCGTATATTATTTACCTGTATACGTATAAATTAATGTATACATAGAACGAAATTACGGTGCTAGAGGCGTTGTACAATAGTATTTTTTTGTTGAACACACATTGAAAGGATCTTTTAAAATAGTTTTCCTAATCTTTTTTTTGGTGTGTGTGTGTGTGTTAATTAAATATTCATACCACTGTATATGGTGCGTAGGCTTTTTTTCCTACATTTTACACATTTAATGAATAACAAAAGATTCACTAGATTAATTTTCAGTTTTATTCCGGCGATTAAAACAAAAAAGTTATTTGTGGTTTAACGTTATCTTGGTTTTTGGTTTTATATATTCTTATTATTTACTGTATTTGAAGCTTTTATTTAATGTATTTGAAGCTTTTATTTACTGTATTTGAAGCTTTTATTTACTGTATTTGCTTTTTATTTTCTGTATTTTAAGCTTTTGTTTGACTGTATTTTAAGCTTTTTTTTTCTTCTTATATTTTCCTCCTCCTCCTCCTCTTTTCTTCATCCTCCCTGTGGCACCGTCTGTAGCCCCCCCCTCCTGCCCGGCTCTCCTCAGTAGCTTATCACAAAGGCTCTTCTATCCACCCAAGCTTAGCACATTCACCCCTCCACCTCCGTCCCCCCATCCCGGTCTTATGTAAGGAAGGCATAAGATCCATTTTTCCGCCGCTGCTGGTTGGAAGAGAGTGCCACTGTGCCCTCGGGTGCCAAGCTGAAGTGCGCCACCTCTACCAGCTGCCCTACCAAGACCCTACAGCGTCCCAATGAGGTCATTAGGTAGTCTTGACTAAGTTAGTTTACTTGGTGTGTTGTGATCTGTGAGGTCGTTCGTCTCCTGCTGTGAGTTTAGCTACCATATGGGCGTTAATATGAGGGGGTACTGTGCTGCCATTAGTGAGTACTGTGCTACCATTAGTGAGTGCTGTGATGCCATTAGTGATGCCGTGCTACCATTGGTGAGTACTGTGCTGCCATTAGTGAGTACTGTGCTACCATTAGTAGTGCTGTGCTGCCATTAGTGAGTACTGTGCTGCCATTAGTGAGTACTGTGCTACCATTAGTGAGTACTGTGCTACCATTAGTGAGTACTGTGCTGCCATTAGTAGTACTGTGCTACCATTAGTGAGTACTGTGCTGCCATTAGTGAGTACTGTGCTGCCATTAGTAGTACTGTGCTACCATTAGTAGTGCTATTCTACCATTAGTGAGTACTGTGCTACCATTAGTGAGTACTGTGCTGCCATTAGTAGTGCTTGTGCTGCCATTAGTGAGTACTGTGCTGCCATTAGGAATGTGCTGTGCTACCATTAGTAGTGCTGTGCTACCATTAGTGAGTACTGTGCTACCATTAGTGAGTACTGTGCTGCCATTAGTGAGTACTGTGCTACCATTAGTGAGTATTGTGCTACCATTAGTGAGTGCTACTGTGCTGCCATTAGTGAAGTACTAGTGCTGCCATTAGTGAGTACTGTGCTGCCATTAGTAGTACTGTGCTACCATTAGTAGTACTGTGCTACCATTAGTCTGTGCTGCCTTAATGTGCTTACTGCCTGTGAGTGCTGTGCTACCATTAGTGAGTGCAATGCTACCATTAGTGAGTGCTGTTGCTGCCATTAGTGAGTGCTGTGCTGCCATTAGTGGTGCTGTGCTGCCATTAGTGAGTGCTTTGCTGCCATTAGTAGTCTGTGCTACCATTAGTGTGCTGCCGCCAAGTGGTACTGTGCTACCATTAGTGAGTACTGTGCTGCCATTAGTGAGTGCTGTGCTACCATTAGTGAGTACTGTTACGCCATTAGTGGTACTGTGCTACCATTAGTGAGTACTAGTGCTGCCATTAGTGAGTACTGTGCTACCATTAGTGAGTACTGTGCTGCCATAAGTGAGTACTGTGCTACCATTAGTAGTACTGTGCTGCCATAAAAGTAGTACTGTGCTACCATTAGTGCTGTGCCCATGGTGAGTACTGTGCTACCATTAGTGAGTACTGTGCTACCATAAGTGAGTACTGTGCTACCATTAGTGAGTACTGTGCTACCATTAGTAGTGCTGTGCTACCATTAGTGAGTACTGTGCTACCATTAGTGAGTACTGTGCTACCATTAGCGAGTACTGTGCTACCTTGGTGAGTACTGTGCTACCATTAGTGAGTACTATTGCTGCCATTAGTAATTAGCCTCCCAGCTTATTTCACCTGATTATTAAAGACCAAGACGTTAACCTAACCTAACAACCCCAGCAAGACAACATCACCAACAACAACAAAAGCACAACAAATACAAAGACACAACAACAGCAACAAAAACACAATAACAGGAACAAAAACACAACAGCAACACAAACACAACAAAAAAACACACAACAACAACAACAAAACTAAAAGGTTGCAAGGTTAGATTTTGATGGGTTAGTTTAGGTTAGATCATATGAGGTTAGTGGGTTGGGATTAGGTTATATAGGTATGTAGCAGTTAGGTTAGGTCAGGTCATGTTAACGTTAAGGTGTATTATCATCAGGTGAAATAAACTGAGAAGTCTTGATAAATTTTTACTTTTTTTTAATTAATTTATTGTCTTACTTTCTTATTTACTTACGTCCTCTTCTTCATTCTAATTCCCCGTTTATCTATTTTCCCCTTTGTCTTCTTCATTCTCACCAGCTCTTTCTCTCTCTCTTTTACTCTATCTCTTTTCCTCTCTGCATCTATCTCTTCTTTCCTTCTTTTATTCTCGTGTCTCTCATCACTCTTATCTAAACACTTCTCTTCCTGGGTCTTTATGTCCTTTTATCTCGTTCTCTTTGAGGAATTCTCTCATTCTCTTATA